AAGCTATACATTCAGGGGCGGCGCTATGTTTTTTGCTGCCCCAAGCACGGCAGTCAGGCGGCCTTCGGCGGCATGCCTGCGGGTGGTCTGCTGCTCACGTGGATTCGGCAGCATTTCTGCGGGTGATCTGCCAGTCCCGCACCTTCAGCGTACCTGCCACTGAATTCCCGCCGAAGCCGTGGGACCGGCGGACCTCCTGCAGGCATGCCGCCGAAGGCTGCCTGACTGCCGCTCTCACGGCGACCGGCACGCCGCCCTCCGCGGCTTGCCGTCCCAGACACGCGCTTGCTGCGCTGGTGCCTGGAACCGCCCCTGTATACATTCTTCACTTCTGTAATTTCCCTTTGTAAATCAATCCTTCTATCCCTGGTCCTATTTAGATTTTCTCTGAACAGCCTCCAATTTGTCAATATTTCTATAGTAATGAAGTTCCTCAAAGTGAACCCATTCCTGCGGGTGCAGCTGCTTCTGAGTTAAAGAGAAAGGCTGTTATGACCCTGATTCATGATATGATGCTTCTGTGCATTGGCTTCTTTTGGTACCATTGCATATTCATCTTTAATTTGATGGCTGCTATCAAGCTCTCTTTTGGCATTAATGCTTTTTAAGTTTCCCTTCCCACTGAATAGCTATGATTTGGGTTATTTTTCCCCTGAGGTATTTGCTTGCAACCATTTTCAAACTCTCTCACCTCCTGCTGGATTGGTTTAATGGGCTGACGGTCAGACATCCACCTGGGCGAAAACTCCGTGTGCTGCAGACGCTTCTCCTGAAATGGGGGTAGAGGAAGGGAGAGAAGGAGAAGATGTGGATTGGGGCACACCACTGATGTTCGTAAGGGAATTTTTGTATTAGGTGTGACCAGGAAACTACTATTAGCTTTACAAGGGTAGCGTCATACAGACCTCTCCAAAGGCCAGACAGGCTATGGAGTTGATTTTAGAGGCATGTTCTCAGGAAGTTCATACTCCAAATTTGTCCCAATAGTTATCTGATGAGCAGCACTCTTCTATCCACCTCTAGCCACCACTCCATCACCAAAAATCCCACTCCCTGCAAACAAAGCCTAGTAGCCCCTGTTTACATGGTACCTAGAAGGTATTTAGGGATCCTGTACTGCTCAAAGTGTCTCTGCTGCAACAGATAAAACATCCTTCCCTATTCCCAGGGGGGTTTGATGGCTGGCTGGATTTAGCACTCTCCCAGGCATCCAGCGTCCCTGCACTCAAGAGCAGCCACCATACAGAGATAAGCAGGCTGACATCTCCCCAGCCTTATGTGCTCACACACACCTTCTGGGCAATCATGTTGCAAATCTCAGGCAGGAAGTCTTCACTCAGGAGTTTGTAGAGCTGCCGTTCTCTTAGGGAGGTTCTCTCTCTGAAGCTCTCTGTGACTTGTCTCCACTCCTCTTCCGTCTGACACAGCAGCCACCACGTCCCACGGCCTGGTCCCTGGGACCCTTCAAGAACATAAAGGAATATTATCTTTGCAATGATTATTGTTGGTGGCTTTCCTCCAACCCATGCCCTCCCTTCCAGAACTTGGGAAGAAAGAAAGATGTTGACTGTATACACACTCCTAGGTGACATGGGTCCAGGTCTAGGAAGAAGCAAGAAAAATCGTTCATGAATGTAACAGGAAGACCTACATAGCTATGGCTTCATTCCAAGCTCTCTCAAGAGCATTGTCACGACCCCTAGTGCCAGTAATACACACTCCAGGGCACTGTACACTGGGGTGGGAAATAAAACAATGGCAGCACCTGGAATATTTTGGGTGAAATGCCATTATTAACCTAACCCACTCTAAAAACACAACCATGTCTATCCAGCAGCCCACAGGAGGAAAAGACAAGTGGGGAAAGGAAGAATTAGTTTCCTTAGCTGTCATTTATTTTTCACAATGGAAGGCATCAACTGGGTCTGGACACTACTCATGGGTTACATTTGCTCAGACTCCCTCTGCTGGACTGCTGCAGCACGGCGCTCTGACTCAGGAGATAACTTCTAAAGCTGAAACTATCCAAACTAGCAGAAAACATCCATCCTATAAACCTACCACATTTCTATTTATGTAGTTTCAGCTTTGGAAGTTCTCTCTTGAATTCCGAGTGTGGCGCTGCAGCCATCCAGAGGGAAGCTGAACTCTGAGGAAGAGGTAGAGAAAAGACAAAGCCAGAGTTGCAGCTATCACTGTGGAAAAAACAGTTGCATTTTCCATAACTGGTGTTCTTCGAGATGTGTTGCTCATGCCCATTCCATATTAGCTGTGTGTGCTCGCCATGTGCACTGGTGCCGGATGTTTTTCCCTTGGCAGTATCCATAGGGGACCGGCTCTGCTGCCCTCTGGACGGCTGCAGCAGTAGTGCCTGCATGGCGCAGTATAAGGGGTGCTGCCGGTACCCCCCACCCTCGGTTCCTTCTTGCCGGAAACTCTGACAGTGGGGAAGGAGGGCGGGTTGTGGAATGGACATGAGCAACACATCTTGAAGAACACCAGTTACCGAAAAGGTAACTGTCTTTTCTTCTTTGAGTGTTTGGCTCATGTCCATTCCATATTAGGTGTCTCCAAGGCAACATAGCTCTGCCAAACCCAGTGTCGTTCCTGGTCTGCTGAGTGATGGCATAATGAGAGGTAAACGTGTGGACAGAGGACCACGTTGTGGCTCTACAGATGTCCTGGATAGGGATGTGCACCAGGAAGGCCGCCGAAGATGCCTGCGAGTGGGCGCTGACAATCGGTGGCAGCGGAACCCCCCACCAGGTCGTAACAGGTGAGGTAATCCCATTGGAAAACCTCTGCGAAGACACCGGAAGGCCCTTCATCCTATCTGCTGTAGCGATGAAGAGCTGAGATGATTTACAGAAAGGCTTGGTAAGTTCTAAGTAAAAAGCCATGGCCCTCCGGACATCCAGGGAGTGAAGATGCCTCTCCTCACTAGTCTTGTGCTGTTTGGGACAGAACACCAGGAGGAAGATATCCTGTTTCATATGGAAGGTAAACACCACCTTTGACAGGAAGGCTGGGCGGGGCCGCAGCTGAACCTTGTCTTTGTAGAAGACCGTGTACAGCGGTTCTGAGGTCAAGGCTTTAATCTCAGAGACTCGTCTCGCTGACGTCACCGCCACTAGGAAAGCGACCTTCCATGACAGGTGGTAAAAGAAGCAGGAACCCAGCAGCTCAAAGGACGGGCCGGTGAGCCTAGAGAGGACCAAGTTAAGATCCCACTGCAGTTCAGGAGCCCGTACCTGCGGGAAGAGTCTCTCGGGCCCTCTCAAGAATCTGACTGTCACGTCATGGGAAAACACCGTCTGTCCTTCGATCGACGGGTGAAAAACGGAGATGGCCGCAAGATGCACCTTAATGGAAGAGTATGCCAGGCCCTGATTCCTCAAATGGAGCAGGGTAATCCAGGACAGCCTGTATGGAAGAATGCAAGGGAGAGATGCCACGCTTGGATGTCCAGTGGGAAAACCTCCTCTACTTGGCCAGGTAAGTCAGTCTGGTTGAAGGCTTTCTACTTCCTAGGCGGACCTGTTGGGCCTCCTCCGAACAGTTCCACTCCTCTGGGTTCAGCCACACAGCATCCACACCGAGAGGTGGAGGGACATGAGGTTGGAGTGCAGGAGCTGACCGTGGTCCTGTGACAGTAGGTCTGGTCGATTGGTTGGGCAGGGACCAGGAAGGGGCCGCTGGTTCATGAGCGTGCCGAACCAGTGCTGGCGAGACCACGCTGGGGCAATCATGATAACCTGCACCCTGTCTCTCTTGATCTTTGCCAGGACCTTGGCGACGAGTGGGATCGGAGGGAACGCGTACATCAGGTTCCCCAACCATGATAGGAGGAAAGCATCGGAGAGGGAGTCCTTGCCCAGACCTTGCCAAGAACAAAATTGATGACATTTTCTGTTTTGCCTGGTAGCGAACAGGTCCGCTTGGGGAGTTCCCTGCTTCTGGTCTGGAAGATCGTGTAGGCTACTTCCAGGTGGAGCGACCACTTGTGGTGAGAGGAGAAGGCCCTGCTGAGGTGATCCGCTAGCATGTTCTTGACGCCAGGGAGGTGACAAGCTTCCAGGTGGATCTCATGGCCGATGGAGAAATCCCATAGACGGAGAGCCTCTTGGCAGACAGTCGATGAACGTGCTCCCCCCTTGCCTGTTGATGTAGAACATCGAGGCCGTGTTGTCCATCAGGACTCTCACCACCTTGCGGAATAGGTGAGGTAGGAAGACGTCGCATACCAACCAGACCGCTCTGAGTTCTTTGACATTTATGTGTACCACCATCTCCTCCAGGGACCACATACCCTGGGTCTGGAGATCTCTGAGGCGTGCACCCTAGCAGAGGTCCGAGGTGTCCGACATCAACTCAGTGGAGTGAGGGGGGTTGTTGAACAGAACTCCCTCTAGGACCGTCTCACAATCGGTTGACCACTGCAGTGAGGCGAATACTGTTGGGGAATGGTAACAATATTTTCCAGGTGATCCCTGGACTGGGAATAGACTGTCACCAGTCATTGCTGCAGGGGTCGCATCCGGAGCCTGGCATGGTGGACAACGTATGTGCAAGCTGCCAGGTGGCCCAGCAGATGAAGGCAGACGCTGGCTGTAGTCAGGGGGAATGTGGACACCTCCGTGATAAGGTCTATCAATGTCTGAAACCTTTCTAGAGGCAGGAACGCTCTGGTGCAGGTCGAGTCGAGCACCGCCCCGATAAATTCTATCTTTTGCACTGGAACTAATGTAGACTTTTTGTCATTCACCAATAGGCCCAGGAAGTGGCACGTGGCTTGCAGCACCCCAACATACTTTTGGACCTGAGATCTGGAGCTATGACCAGCCAGTCATCGAGGTACGAGTAGATCGTAGACTTATATAATCATAGAATATTAGGGTTGGAAGGGACCTCAGGAGATCATCTAGTCCAACCCCCTGCTCAAAGCAGGACCAATCCCCGGACAGATTTTTGCCCCAAATCCCTAAATGGCCCCCTCAAGGACTGAACTCACAACCCTGGGTTTAGCAGGCCAATGCTCAAACCACTGAGCTAGATCTGGATACCCCGGCACCTGAGGTAAGGCGCCACCATCGACATGCACTTGGTAAACACCCTTGGTGCTGTCGCCAAGCCAAGTGGGAGGATCATAAATTGGCAGCGGCCAGGTCCCACCGTGAATCGGAGAAAATGTCTGTGTCCTTGGAAGATCGCTATGTGGAAATATGCGTCCTTTAGGTCGAGGGCAGCATACCAGTCTCCTGGATCCAGGGAGGGGATGAGAGAGGCCAGGGAGACCATAAGGAACTTCAGCTTCTTTAGGTACTTGAGGTCTCGTAGATCCAGGATGGGATGTAGACTGCCCTTGGCCTTTGGGATTAAAAAATATTGGGAATAAACTCCCCTGTTCCTCTACTGTAGAGGAACTTCCTCCACCGCCCCCAGATGTAGCAACCCTTGAACCTCCTGCATGAGGAGACTCTCATGAGAAGGGTCCCTGAAGAGGGACAGGGAAGGGGGCTGGTAGGGGTAAAAAGAAACTGGAGGGTATAGCCCGGTGCCATTGTGTTCAGGACCCAGTGGTCCAAGGTTATAGTGGTCCATGCAGGGAGGAAAAATGGGAAGGCAGTTGGAAAAAAACAGGGAAGATGGATCCAGAGAACAGTCTGGTAGGTAGCCCTTGGGTGCACCCTCAAAACAGTAGCTTGGCCCCTTGCTTATTCCGGGTGGAGCCCAACTGAGCAGGGGGTGGAGGAGGATGGCTCAGGCGGCGCTTGTAGCCCTTGGCTTTCTTGTGAGGCTGGTCCTGTTGAGGCTGGCTCCCTTGTCCCTGAGGCTGTTGAGGTTTGAACCGCTTACGTGCCAGGCCTGGGACATACAGCCCTAGTGTTTTGAGGGTGGTACGGGAGTCCTTTAAACTGTGCAGCTTAGTATCAGTCTGTTCTGCAAACAGGGCCTGGCCGTTGAAGGGAAGGTCCTGCATCGACTGCTGAGCCTTGGTGGACAAGCCCAAGAGGAGCAGCCAGGAAGCTTGTCACATGGAGATGGCGGAGGCCATGGTGCAGGCTGCAGAGTCTGCCGCGTCTGAAGCTGCTTGGAGGCCTGCTCTGGCCGCCGTCATGCCCTCCTAGAGGATTGCCCAGAAGTCCTTCCTGGACCCTTTGGGGAGCAAAGCCTCGAAGTTGGCCATGGCGTGACGACTTCGGGTGGGTGAGCGGTGGTGGGATGTCCCATGCGATGGGGAACGGTGCAGCTGAGCCGGGGACTTACGTGTCGCTTACCTGCCCTTCGCCCAAGCAACTTAGGCAGCTACTATGTGGATCGCTGACAGGCATGGGCTGTTTGCAATGATCGCAGGGCTTAAAGCCTGGGGACCAGGGCATGCCCCGTCCCCTGGCTGAGTCCTATTCGGGACTAACAAAGACTTCGAGAACTACTAGTAAGGGTAACGGATTCAACTACTAGCTATATTACAGGATTTTACAAAGTTCGCAAGAACAGAGAACGAAACAATGCTAGCCAAAGCAGCAGACGTTCCAGCACGTCACTGGCAGCAAGAAGGAACTGAAGGTGGGGGGAGCCGACTGTGCCCCTTATACCGCGCCATGCGGGTGCCACTTCAGAGGGTGCTGGAGCCGGTCCCCTACGGAGAATGCTGAGGGAAAATCTTCCAGCACCGGTGCATGTGGCGAGCATACACACCTAATATGGAATGGACATGAGCGAGCACTCGAAGAATAGGCAGGTCTAACCCATAAGTAATATTCAAACCAGTGGATTCTCACTGGTTGTTTGAGAAATCAGTCTCCCATCCAGTCTCTTTGGAGAAACTGTCACAATATGTTGGCATCTCACCTCACTAATTCCTTGTGGGCCAAGGGCTCCCCAGTAAGGACCTGGAACACGGATTTCCCTAATTCCTGGTTTACACAGTACTCACAGTGTATACACCTGACACCAGATGGGAGACAGGCAAGGAGAATACTTTGTTCTCCTACAATACTACCCACCCTGGTGACTCTCTCCCTTTAACAGAGAGGGTAAAATGCATCTGCCACAAACAGGATGTGTGTCCACATGGCCTGTGCTCACCCCTTCTCAGGAGAACATCTGTCCATACATAGTCCTTCTCTACTGACCTTAGTGCGTGAGTAGAGGAGGATTCCCCCCGCAAGCCTATTCCAAACTCAGGCCTCCCACACAATAACCTAATTCATTAGTTACTCCTCATCCCAAAACAGTGTCTTGTTATACAGGAAACATTTGGCTGCCTATGCTCCTGGGAATAAGTTAGTCTATTTCTTTAACTGCTCATGCCAAATACAATCAGAACCAATCGGGCTAAAGACACAGGGCACCACTTCCAGAAAGCCTCTCACTAAACAGACCCTCCTCCTTCCCTGGGAATCTTGTCTCTCTTAGCTTTGGATGATTTTAAAACTGAAATAGCAGATCAAATTCCTCCCATAATGTCTTTACCATTTTTCATCTGCGTCTCATGCACAAGCGAGTTCTCTTCAGCCTTCTCCCTATAAAGAAGAAGGCAATCATACAATGACATCACCAGCCACTGAAATGCAGCCACTTCTGGGGAAGAATGCAACGGCTGTTTAATGCACAGCAAACACCACACAAATTTTGTACAGAATCATAGAATATCAGGGTTGGAAGGGACCTCAGGAGGTCATCTAGTCCAACCCCCTGCTCAAAGCAGGACCCATCCCCAGACAATTTTTTACCCCACTACCCTAAATGGCCCCCTCAGGGATTGAACTCACAACCCTGGGTTTAGCAGGCCAATGCTCAAACCACAGGAAGTGAGAAATATCCTATTTGAATCAAACTTCGAGGAAAATTATGTAAACAGCCAAACTGGAACGTGGCCAGGATATTACATCCCTACTCTTGTGGCTAGAACCAGGAGATCGTTAATGACTTCAGGTAGGCAGGACTTTGGTTTAAAATAGCATCTAAATATAGTCGCTCTGGCTACAATGTGCCCCCTAGCAACATGCAGCTCAAAGGGGTCAGAACGGATTCAGTGGGAAGAACGGCATCCACTGTTTCACCCACATTGCTTCCTGCAACACCTGGATTTTCTTTAGAGTCCTCACCCAAGTACCAACTCAGTCTGTCTGTGCAAGATGATTTGAGATCATGGCTTCAGGGGGTATGGTTGCAGGGAGAATTACCTTTGGACTCCCAAATGGAAAAAACACAAATTGGGGTGCAGGGGATCTTCAGTACCAATGAGAGGCCCCAAAAGGTGCATCAGTACTATCAATGCCAAGAAAGACCAGCCAGCTTTCCTCCTTATATGAGAGTATATCACATAACCATTCCAGGAACACCCCTTTTCCTTACCGCAACAGATTCTCCTCCAGCAGTTTCTTCCGTTTTGGGGGTCGCCCTCGTCTCTTGCCTGTTTTCCCAGGAACATTTGAGGTGTTTGTCTGGCCCCCACTTCCCCTGGAACACAATGAAAGGTTAGAAAATATCTCCTGAAGACTGGAATTGTGGCTGGCAGGGGAGGAGGGAGAGAAGAGTGGGAAAGAAAAAGAAAAAAAAATCAGAACAGCTGCTATGGGCCCAACTAGGGGAGGGATTAACTACAGCAGCGAAGCGGGAGGGAGGGAGGGAAGAACGGGACTACCACTAGCTGGGTGACTAATTCAGGAGCAGACAGTGACTCGTAACTGCTGCTGTCTCCGAGGGGCAGGTTGCTTGGAATGTGGTGGTGGTGGCAGAGGAATCTTCCTACCCCACTGGCAGATTTTTGTAGTGCCATGAAGGCTAAGCATGGCTTTAGTCCCCTTACATCAGGATTTAGTCACTGGTGCATTTGTCAATTTTACCCGTGTCCTGCACAAATTCAGGCCACCGTCACCCTCCCAGCAACAGCGACAGTCAAACAGATTTTATTTAACTCCGATTTATTGCTGCATAGTCCATTCCGCTCCATTTGCCCTGCCCTGCCCTCTTCTCCCTGTTTACCCGGGCGGTGTGGAAATTAGGAAAACTTCAAAGCTGTTGTTACCTGTCTGAAGCCAGCTCTCCATTTGATTTCCCCTGGACTGGCTCTTCTTTGTACATACGAGTGCCATAGAAATACCAATAGAGGGCGCCATTACTATCCTCACCCAGTGGTTCTACACGGAGGCTGTCTGCATCCAAACCCTGCATTCAGTTGGGAGCACGCAGTGAGAGAGACAGTGACAAGTTGAAAAACAGTTGCACTGTCACTCAAAACACGCTGACATCTCTCCACAAACACCCCGCCCCACCCCCCACAACACATCTGTTCTGATGCAGTTCTGGGAAGATATTACTCTAGAGAAAAGAATACATTCCCTCTCCACCTAGGGAGAGATTTAGATTGGCATTTCTAATTTGCATGCTCTCTTTAGTTTTAATATTTCATTTTTGGTGCTCGTGACAGTGAAGGTCTAATTAGCCCTGGCTAGCGTCATGCCAAGCATGGGAGGCACTGTGGAAACTTCCCACATACAGCTCTCCCAATACACTTTAATAATGGGGGATGGTAGGGGCACTGCTGCAGGACAGAATTGCACTCCTAGCTCCCACAGAGCTGCCAATACCCTGGAAGCACCGCCAGATATTCAAGTCACGGTCTTCAGAGATGTAGCCAATCAGGCCAATTTACGTAGTGATGTTTGTGCTGCGAATGCATCCATGACAGAGAGACCCTACCAATTGCCTAGATCCTTTGTAATCCGACATAACCCAGGGCTCCAGAGGTAGAAAAAGCACAACTATTTATTCACTGCACTACCACCAAGAACATGACTTTAAAACATTTCTTTCTGATTAAAAAAAAATTACATCTCCAAGCCCCTAAAATACACAGACTATGGGAAACCTATGTACCTCACTAAAGGCTGGCTCAAAAAAAACCCCAACCCAACCCCTTGAACATTAATAGAAGGAGAGAGAATGGGGAAACCCCATCACCAATATTTCCAAAGCTGGGTCTGGAGACAAAGAGAAAAAATGGATTTTAGAGAGAAATACTTCCACGCTATAGTTCAAATCCCCAGTCTCTTCTTGCTCCCCAAATGGACAGACTAGAAACGCCACAGGAGCATCAGTCCCTAAATGGCCTGTCCCCTTGGTTGGAGGCTGGCTGATGTATACAAGCAGTGGCAGGAAAAAGGAAAGACAGCCTCCATGAAGGCAAACATTTCCCTCCATCCCACCTAGGTTTCCCAACCCAGCCTAGCTCCCTGTGGCTGCCATCTTCCCCATCTGACAGCTGCTGTGGCCCAAAGCACCTTGAGGAGGTCGAAGACGTCATCTGCATCAAGCCGGTAATCGCAGAGACGGTGCAGGATCTCCACGCGGGTGCGCAGCGGCAGCTCCTGGAAAGTGGATTCCCGTAGGGGGTTGGGTTTCCCTTCCTCCAGCTCCCAGCGGTAGTTGATAATGTCCTCAAGGTAGCTGTGAAACGTCTGTGACCTGATCAAGAGAACAAGTCCCCCATATTGTAGGTTAATATGCAAAAAAGACAGGACTTAGTGGGGGTGGGAAATGGAATTAGAAGATCCTGACAAGGCTGAAAGCTGTGCCCTGCTGGCTCAGCACAACCTAACTGAACTTAGTATGTAGCGGGAAGTGGAGCGACTGACACTGGGAAACTTTCATGAATGCTTTTAAGAACTGTGTCTTAGGACAGCCAGGGCTAGATAAAGCTCTGCAGCTAGGTTTGACCCTCTCCTACCTGCTGGTAGCATTCTTAACTGCAACAATACAGGATTTTGCATCATTTAAAGCCTCTTTGTTAGTCTCCCTCCTTTTCATCACATTAGGTAGCTGTTCACATCAGCGCGGACTCTGACTTTTATAAAAGGAAGATGCAATGGAGCATTCACAGACAATTCCAATCCTCTTCTGCCTTCCTCCATTTTAGCTAACACCATCATTATCTACCAGGCTCACGGTCTCTCCCTTTTCCCTGGTCATACCCAGGGAATTTTCCCTGGCCATACAGCCAGGTAATTACCAACTCCTGCGCCTTCTTCCAAATCATTTTGAAAGTCAGAGCCTTTGTTGTCCTAAAGGGTAAAACACTTCTCCATGCCCGGACTACTGTCCTCTCTGGACAAAATGCAGTTACCAGAATTATCTTCCTTGCCTGACAATAGGACCACATTACTCCCCTCTTTGAATCTCCTTTACCACTAGCTCCCCACCTTGCCCACAGTACCATATTAAACTTCTTGTCCTCACCTTATACTGAAGGTTGCTGTAAATAGTAACAGTTCTGGTGTAAGTGCTGCCCTGTCACACCTTAGATTGCTGACTGTGCTCAGATAAATAAGTGTGTGTCTAATTTTAGATGCAGCTTGTTCTGAGCGTGGAAGTTTCAGTCTACAGAATCTGGGTGAGATGAAGCACTGACTGTTAAAACTTTATTTGTTATGAGTGGTGCTACTGCCTGACTCCTGTGACTTGCCAGCGTTCCAGACCTGTGGTCTGTAGCTGCAAACATGCCTTTCTCTCACACACAGGAAGTTTGTGTGTCTGAATGGACACTACCGGATAGCCATTCCCACATGCGTTCATGGAGGCAGCTCAACTGGATCCTTTTTGGCACCAGCTGACTGCCCTAGACAATGCAGGGAACTATGCCACAACTGCAGAATAACCACAAACCAAACAAATACAAAACTGTAACCAAAAAAAGCATTAAATCTTTAACAATCAGTCTGGAGGAAGACGACTGAGAACTAGCAAGAAGGTCAGATGTTAAGAGAGGGAGGAAGAAAGAAAAGATAGGAAAGAGGGGTCAGGATAGAATGGCAACCTGCAGGACCTGATGGCCACAGCCTTTGTGGAAGAAACGTCCTCCTGACAGTATCTTATAAATGAGTGAAGAGATGTCTATGTCCCCACTCTGCAGATTACTCCATATGACCCTGTTTCTTTCTGCACCTCAAGTGGAAAATGACTCCTTGCTGACTGACTCCATTTCCCTGAAGGAGTTTTACCTGACCTCCTATAGTATTCAATGACAGATACTTGTATAGAATTGGATATGGTGGCTTTAGCAGCTCTGCCGTTGCTCTTTTCCACCTATGACTGGGGAGGGGGGG